TGGTAAAACGGTAACCAAAATTTGTCTAAACATCCCCACCAATAATATGATGACGTCATTTCAAAATGGTACATAGTAAATGGGTTTTAAATTGTATGAAATAACATAGTCCTACACATGTAGTTCATGATTCCGTATTGAGTTTTTACTCGAAATGTCCAAATTTTTGGAAAAAATCAAAATTATAAAACAACATTTTGCAATTTAATTTTGAATCGGCAAAAGCGAAAACTTTGAAATCTTGCAGACGTTTTAAAGTTATTGTAAACATGGTAAATTGTTAATCAAAATATATCTATTTATTCGCCCCAAAAAATTGATGACTTCATCTCAAAATTTTGCCGTATAAATTCTACCCAGAATGTGCAAAATATGATGAGTTTTTACTTGTGATTTATCATTGCATTCATATTTCTTAGATTTGGTTATACAGGTGGCTCAAAAAAATTAATGAATGAGTCAATGTATTTTATAGATTAAATCAGGAACGGCTCACTCCATTTTCCCAGAAAATTTTTACTATTATTTTTAGTATTACACTCATACACTGCACCAATGTTGATTTACATGGCGTTCCCAAAATGTTGATGACATTATCACAAATTGTGTAAGAAAAAACACCACTCAAAAATGCTGGATATTGTACGTCAGGAGCGAGGAAAATTCTATCGAAACAACTTTCGATCAATTTTTTTTGTTATGCACATTAGTTACAAGCACGTCAGAAACAAAACTGATGATGTGATGAATTTACATTACGTTACTTCATTTCGTGACATTAATTCATAATTTTACAAAATTCGCAAATACTTTTAATAAAACATTATAACTATAACTTACAAGATTTTCTACTTCGACCGCTTATTTTTCTCGTTATAAGGAGTTCTACACATGAAAGAGTTGCGAAGTTTGTAAGCTTCTACAATAAAACTGCCAACAGGTTGTGTGACAGCTATTATTCTCATAAACGAAAATTATTGTTTAAACGGTCTACATTTTTATTGTTTTTATTGTTATCGTCGGTATAAGTTACTAATAATAATTTAACGTATAAACTGAACAAAAAAGTAATCAAATAATTCGGATCATGTTCGTGAGCTTAGGCATGTTGGCGTCATTATTAAAAAAAAAAATTGTATAAAAAATATATCACTGTACTTAATCTGATATAAATCTCGTGTTACATCGGAAACGAAATAATGACTTCTCAAAATCAGCTACTAACTGATTACAGTGGAATTCCCTCGCCTCAAGCACAACAATACCGCTTGTATCTTAAAACCTACTTTCCAACAAAGATTTATTTAATAATGTTCTATAATGATGTCATCAACCTTTTAAGAGTGATAAATACTCATGTATTAATTTTGGTGTATACAACGTAACACTAGCCATTGATAACATTATTGGTATCTTCAGAACAATTACTCATCGATGCACTGACACTAACACAGCCGTTATTATCCCGCAACCCCAAAATTTTTAACAAATTATGTGTTGACAAGTGTCAACAGCTATGCATTCTTTTAATCTAGTCGAAGATTATGACAGCGTAGCTGTCGAGACGTGTAGATTTTTTGCTAAAAATTTGAGTGTTGTGTTAATATCGTTACTACTACAGATTTAATAATGGAATGTCCATCTCGATAAAAATTAGTATGCTCTTATTAACAAAATAAACAAATTTCAAAAAAAAATGAACACTACAAAGGTACCAGGCAATTAAGCGATGTATAAGATGTTTTAATTACACATACCGATACCATTTTGTAGAAGTAATTTTTTTCTGATTTTTTTTCTCGTGTCTGTATTAGTAGAATGATAACGAGCGTTCAAATAAAAACGACGTCAAGCTGGCTTTGTAAATGTGAATTTAGGGCTTAGTAAACGATTCGTTCACATTTCCAAAGCCAAGTTGACGTCGTTTTTATTTGAAGCTCGTTACCAATTTACAGTACACTCCATGGCTATACCATATTTAAATATTACTTTTAAAATGGTGCAATATTTTTCTACAATATGCAGTTTCATCTAGAAATGTATTATTAAAAATTCTTAGACAAGAAATGTTAAAAAATGCAAGAAAATTTTAAGTTATACGTAGTAGAATCATCTGAAAATTGCTGCGATCGAAAATAAACCGGACTACAGTTGGCTGTGAGATAGCTGTATAAATGGCACTACTGCACAATTTTTAGATTTGGGGAAAACAAGAGAATATAGAGGAAGGAGAATGTTGTGGTGTGGACTTCTACCATAGAATATCCCCACTTGTATGGCTTTCTATTTATCAGTATCAAGATGTTTGTATTCCTTAGAAATTTTCGGACTGCAAAGGAATTAAGAGAATACGGTTTGTTTCATACTACTTTATCTGTAGTACAATATTCAACAATATTACATTTTGTATCAATTACCGTATTTGTCAGATCTATAATTTAGAGTCATATTAAAAAAAAATAGATAGAAAAATATGTTCATAATATTTCAAATGTATCGGATGTTCAACTGAAAAAGTCATCAAGTTGGCCATGATTTTTCAAACTGTGTGTCTACAATAAACCTAAAATCTAATCGATGATACCTGACCACGAAATGGCCAATTATTCAAAATAGTATGGATTAATAAAACACGTGTTTTTCACTACGTTTTCTTCTATAAAAAAACCACGCCAGCTTGACTTTTTCAATTCAACACCCGTTATGTAGCAATGAAACATTTCAAAATGCATGCTAAATGTCATTGAGAAATCAGTCAAAGATGACTTTGTCAATTGAACATCCGTTAAATCGTTTTCTGCGATTTTATATAAAGCGGTTTTTATTTTATTCCCTTCAAAAGAAAAGACTATCGAAATCTAAGTCAATGTTATTAGCAGTATTTTTTGTTCGAAATCATCATTTCTAGCCTCGTACCCTCTCCAATATACTCTCCCCTCCGAGGGCACATTCGCACATTGCAACCAAGGTCCATAAATTGGTACGATCTGCGCATGTCCGTTCACCATTCTGACCAGTTGGAACTCGAGATGTTGGCGAACAAAAAACAGTTTTTTTAATTTTTTTTTTGTTTTAAGACATGAGATGGGTTTTTTGCTTTAATTTTTTTTTAATTACCTTTTCCAGATGTTTGATGTGACTGATGTTAGTTTTTGTTAGAAAGCGCAGAAATTTTGAAATTTTAGAACACTATACAAATTAATCAAATGAATTTATTTTTCATAAATTTCCTTAATGACCATAAACAGTAACCAAGAGAGAGAAGAAAGGTATTTTAAAAGAATTAGCGAATACAGGAGAAGCAAGCAAATTAGTGCATAAACCAGTGGCGTATCCAGAGGGCCTCAAACATAAAATGTGATAGAAACCTGATCGGTTTCACCATACACATTGTTCACAAAACACTAGTCGACAAAAAGTACTTATCCCAAACCAATGTAAAAAAGTTTAGCACCAACCGTTACTAACGGCCGAAGCTACGGCAGGAAAAAACACTAAAACTAGACACGCCATTGATTTCCTACTAACTGAGTGGCTGTTTAGCATTAGAGTTATATTTTACAATTGCGACTTACAATAGTTCGTCACAATGGTGGTAGTAAACCACTTGTCTGGCCAAAAAGTAAAAAATAAAAAAATGCTTATGAAGCAGTGGCGGCTCGTGAAGTTTTCTTCAGAGGAGGCTCAAATTTGAAAACCAATACTTTTTATATCCTTCATTATCTGAATAATTTTTTTGTCATGCTCACGAAAAGAACACTATAGATAAACTATTGCATCGATTAGTCTTTTCAAAATTGCCCTATTTTCACCAACTTTCTCGTTATAGTTCTCAATATCCCTCTTATGAGCGGAATCTAAAGTAGTAGAAGAAAATATGTGTTCCTGTGATTTTTCATGCCTTTACACTGCACATGAGACTGACTTATTTTCGTTGCTCATTCTCGTTAAGTATAAGTAATATTAATATGTCGATAATACCAGCTGTTTTTAACGATCAGAAATAAAACGCAAATAAATGATATAAAAAAACACCTTAGGCTTTACGTAGGTACTAAAGCCTAAACACCATTCACCACTGAATAGGGAGCACGCGAAACCACCTCAATGTTTTTCCAATTTACACCCGATCGCGCGAGTTAATAAGAAAGAGATAAAATAATCCGTGCGACTTGATCTGAAAAGAGATGCACTAGCCGGAGGCTAGCGGCCTGAAGCGGCACCACGATGAACATTTTAGCCAATGCAGTGCTGAATGACTATGCGTCAAGGTTGCGGTCTCAATAGTAAGATGCATTCTCGGCGGAGGCTAGCTTCTACGGCTGAAGCAAAACGCGGAGTGGTGTGAATTATGATTTAAGGGCGCAAATATAATTTTTTTCGATATTTTAACCTGATATATGATGAAAGTAAATTAAATCAAACAAAATATTCTGAATAGTAACAAATGTATAAAAATACAAATTCTTTCATCGAAAAAATTAGAGGAAGCTCAGCTCCAAAAAACAGAGGAGGCTCAGCCTCCCCTGCCTCCTCTGAGGAGCCGCCACTGTTATGAAGTCATTGTCGTAAACGCACTATATCTTTAGTCGAACCTTACCATCGAGGTAAAATGAGAAGAGGGACGATAGTAGAGAGTATTACACAATTGTATTGTTGGTTGCGTTTTGGATTTTTTAGGCGTGTAGCTTCTCGTGAAAAACCTGTATATATACAGTCAAAACCAGAAAAGCTTGCACGTCAATGTCATTCCACTGTTACAAAATGTCAAATACCTTGGGTATTGCAACTTTATTTTTGTCATTTTTGACACTGCGGGCATGCTGATTGCGGATACTCGATGCAACATTGCAACGTGATAAACTTTTCAAATTTCAAACGTCAAAATGACAATAAGAATACATCAAAATTTTCAAAAGGGTACAAGAATGACGTCCAAGATTTTTTGGCCGCGACTGTATACTCCATATGCAAAATAAATTACACTGGTTTAAAAAATGGACACTTTTGACTCGCTTTTTTATGTTCTGTGGACGTATCCGGATGTCAACCTGTGATGTCAACGTGTTCACACAGACACAACCGTAACCGGTTTCTGTCAGAACCTAACCTAAAAAGTGTAACATTTTTCTTATAATTAATGTGAACAAACAAAGCAATAATATAAAACTGATTAAAAAATATGTAAACCATAATAATGACGTTCCTACAAGACACCATAGTGGTGTTACTTTCCCAGGTTTTATTTTTCATATTTTTGTTTATTTAAGAAATCAATAAATCTGCAATTTTTAAGGTAACATTCTTTGTTGGGGCATGGATCTTTTTTGTAAAACAATTATTCAAAGATTATGAAGTGAGACATATTATGGTACAATTAATTTTTTCGATTACTTTGACTCTATCATGTACAATGTTTGAACTCATAATATTCGAAATATTAGAACTACTTGATGCAAGGTAACAAATATTTATGTTTTGACCTATATTGACACAGTTACATTTAAGCTCACGCTATTTCTACTGGTGCCTAATGCTGTATTTATTGTTGTTTGTGGTAATTGTATTAAACCCTTTTTATATTGCTTACTATTGTATTAGTAATATTTCATTTGGTAAGGTGATCCATTTGTACGTACAAATAATTTTCTAACACTAATTGCAGTTAAACCCGACTACATAAAACATTTAACCGTCTTAGTGTGGATCATTTTTATTGTGATATTTTGGAAATTTGGAGATCCATTCCCAATTTTGAGCCCAAAACAGGGTGTTTTATCCATGGAGCAGTTAGTTTCACGAATTGGTGTCATAGGGGTCACAGTAATGGCGCTACTATCTGGATTTGGTGCAGTCAACTATCCCTATACATCAATGGCCTATTTTATTCGGTAATTCACTCCAAATAAATAAATAATAATAATAATACAAAAAATTAAAGGGAAGTTTCCATCACAGACGTGATGAACATTGAGAAGAGATTGATGCAAGCAATGGATATGGTAGTCATGAAGAAAAAAAGAATCGCAATTGCAAAAAGACAATCTCTTGAAAAAATAAATGAAGGAATGCCTAGAAGATCTGGATTATGGAGTATGATCTATCCAGGAAGCAATAACAGAAACCAAGAAAGTAAAAGTTTTATTTTATTGTAAAAACCAAGAGCGAAGAAAGTTTTTTCAGATATATCACAGCTAAAATTAGAAATAGCAGGTTTGGAAGAGTTAAGTAGACAGCTTTTTCTTGAAGCGCATGAAAATCGCAATATGTTTGAAAGGATAGAATGGTCAAAAACATGGAAAGGAATATATTTTAATTTTTTGGGGTATATATTTTCAGTGTACTGCACATGGAAAATTTTTATTGTAAGAATTATGAGTCAAATTAACAGTAATGGGAAAAATGTTTTTAGTGTACCATTAATATAGTATTTGACAGAGTAGGAAAAAAAGACCCTGTAACTAGAGGCATAGAAATTGCAATTCACTGGATGGGTTTTAATTTTGATGTCAATTTTTGGTCTCAACAGGTATCTTTTTATTTGATAGGATGTATTGTTGTTACTTCCATAAGAGGATTATTATTGACTTTAACAAAGGTAAGGTTTTTTAATACTTGTTTGATGACGTTTTCAATGTGTTTTTTCAGTTTTTCAACAGAATGTCATCAAGTAAAAGTTCCAACATTATTGTACTGATTTTAGCCCAAATCATGGGAATGTATTTTGTTTCTTCTGTTCTTCTTATGAGGATGAATATGCCTCCACAATATAGGACAATAATAACCCAAGTTTTAGGAGATTTGCAATTTAATTTTTATCATCGTTGGTTCGATGTAATATTTTTAGTAAGTGCCTTGGGCAGTATCGTGACTCTGTATCTAGCTCATAAGCAACCTGTACATGAAAATCTTTGATTTTTTTTTAATTAATTTAAGCTTTGTATAAACTTAACCTTGTGATAAACTACTATAGAATATATGAAAGTTTTCCAAAATGATTCTGATGTTTTATAAATTTATGTAATGTTTATTATGAACCAAAAAAACTTAAATCTATGATACAATTACACTGTTGTACTTATCAAAATTCTTATTTTCCAGAAACAAATTTTGATAATCCTTCTAAAAGGCCAATGTATGCAGAATGTTCATATGACGTACTGAATTTGGATAATTTTTCAACAAATTCGTTTGAGACTCCTTTTTCTTCTAAGTAATTCAAAATCAGGTCATATAAGTACTGAAATAAAAATATTAATTCATGTTCGATATATCTATACTGCATACTTACAGTATCTATGCTTTCTCCTGACACTGCATAAATATTGTCATTCCAATCCCCATCGTAAATACTGATTTCATCCAATCCAAATATATCATCTAATAAAATAGAAAATAAGCAACAAAATTATTATTTTTTTATTTGACTTAACTGTAACCCTCCTGGCGTTCATCTGAGTCAACAAATGAGCATACAAGTTTCAGAGTAGTTTTTCCCCTTGATAACTCAATATCAAATGGTGGTTTCGATTTTAACTCCCCAACCTCTGGCTTGTCCATATTTGGATGTATTTCAGGTTCTGTATCCGTGTCAACAGTATGATTAACATTGAAAGTTATTTTGATTCTACAATAATTAAAAATTGGGGACACTAAACCACAGATCTATAGTCAAATTGATGAAAAAACTTACTTTTCATCATCACATACTTTCGAAAAAGTAACTTCAGCACCATCTAATTGAATCTTAAAACCATCCAGTTCAGCTGGCAAAGTATTTGACTGTCGAGCTTTTCTCTCTGCTAATATTTCTTCCGTGAGAAATTCTACAAGTTCTTTTTCGGCTAAAACAGAAACCTTTAAGTTTCAGTTTCTCATTTTCGCCAGTGTGTTACCTTTACTATGAACCTGTTGATATTTATTCATACAACCACAAGTACACAATTTGCTCAATTTATTTTCAGATTCGTTATTTCGAGGGTTGGTCATGTACCACAGATTGCGTGCTATTTGTCGCTGCTGAAGGGCGCCATTGGGAAACAATACTTTTTTCGTGGGATTTAAAAATGCTTTGCAGCTGCTGATTCTAAATGCACTCCTGAGCAGATTATTCATTTTAGTACTTAAATTTTATGGGAATAAACACTAATAGTAAGATTTACGGTACAGCTTCCCACACGTGTTTTACCACTTGATCGAAGCCAGTTAATTGACAGTTGACAAACCGGTAGTCACATATCCCTAAACAAATTAAACTTTACGAAACAAAAAGCACTAAATAAATAGGAATTTGGGCAATGATTAATGTATAAATTTGGCATTAAAAAAATATATCTTCAACGAATGTCCCACTAATGTAACTTACAAAATGCCAGTAATGTTTTAATTGTTGTGAAGTATTTAAAATAAAATGAAACTTTCATGTTGAGATGACGTGATCGCTTCTTCGCGTGTTGTCATTGGTCCATTGGCGGCGTCAATTTTGTTGTTAGTTGTCAAAAAGTTAACCTACAATCGGTGTCTCGAATGCACGTGCTTAAAAATTTGTGAGCGATGGCAGAATTTGGTAATTATTTGTAAATATTAGTATTTTAACATAAATAAAATCTGCAAAATTAGTTGAATGAGTATATTCGCTTAAAAGCTTCGGGTGGCCGTCATTTTGTAGAATCGCGCCGGCCGCTTCGCCATGGTTGCGTCGTTTTGTTTAACAACTGTTGAATGTTTTTATTGTTGCAGAAAGCGAAGCACCCGTCAAAGAAAAGAAGAAGAAAAAAAGTAAAGGTGAAAAAGATTTGGGGAATATACAAAAAGGCTCAGATTTCTCAGTGGAGCCTTCAACTTTGGTTGCAAAATTAGACAGTTCGAAGTGGCCTTTGTTGTTGAAGGTGAGCGTGAACTTCCAAGCTACGTTAAATACTAATGTTGTGTAAATATTTTAGTACTTTGATCGTTTAAATGTAAGAACTAATCATTATGTTCCGCTACCTTATGGTTCCTCACCGCTTCGAAGAGAAATTTCTGACTATGTAAAATCTGGATTTATTAATCTTGATAAACCTAGTAATCCAAGCAGTCATGAGGTGGTGGCTTGGATTAAAAGAATTTTAAAAGTTGAAAAAACTGGCCATTCTGGAACTCTAGATCCAAAAGTAACGGGTAATGTGTAGTTGGTTTTTATATGACTGGATGAAATTAACTTGGTAATTTTAGGTTGTTTAATTGTCTGCATAGAACGAGCCACTAGGCTTGTAAAATCGCAACAAGCAGCAGGCAAAGAATATGTCGCAGTGTTTAAACTGCATTCCAGTGTGGAAGGTGGGATTCCAAAAGTTGTGCAAGGATTGGAAAAATTAAGAGGTGCCTTATTTCAAAGGCCGCCGCTAATATCAGCAGTTAAAAGACAATTAAGAGTTAGAACTGTCTATGACAGTAAATTATTTCAGTATGATGAAAGTCGAAATATGGGTAAGTTGCTGAGAATGAACAAAACAATGTAATTAATTTTCACGATTTAGGTGTATTTTGGGTCAGTTGTGAAGCGGGTTCCTACATTCGTACAATGTGTGTTCATTTGGGTTTAGTTTTGGGAGTGGGGGGCCAAATGTTGGAACTCAGAAGGGTACGTTCAGGCATTCAATCAGAGAACGAACAGATGTCAACAATGCATGATGTAATGGACGCACAGTGGTTATATGAAAACCACAAAGATGAAAGTTACTTGCGCCGTGTGATTAAACCTTTAGAAGGTTTATTGGTCAAACACAAAAGGATAATTATGAAAGACAGTTCTGTAATATTTTTACCACTGTTTGTGTATTTTTTGTTCTATAATAGTTTTCATAGGTAAATGCTGTCTGTTATGGAGCAAAAATTCTTCTGCCTGGAATTTTAAGATACGAAGACAATATTGAACTTAATGAAGAGATTGTTATTGTGACTACAAAGGGAGAGGCCATAGCACTAGGAATCGCTTTAATGACTACAGCAACAATAGCCAGTTGTGATCATGGGGTGGTAGCAAAGATTAAAAGAGTCATCATGGAGAGAGACACATATCCTAGAAAATGGGGTCTGGGTCCTCGTTCAAGTCAAAAGAAAATACTTATCGCCAAAGGCCAGCTCGATAAGTATGGGAAACCTAACGAAAATACCCCGAAAGAATGGTTGAACAGTTATGTTGATTATTCGTAAGTCTCAGTGTACAATTCTATTTTGACGCTTAATATGTTTTACTATTTTAGAGTTAAAAAAGAAGACGATGTTAAGCAAGAAACAAAGAAAGAGGAACCTGAAGATGAAGAAAGTTCCAAGAAGGTAAAACAGAATATTGGTCTTGCAGTTAAAATTACACTATTTTATTTTTAGCGCAAACTAAGTGCTAGTGCCGATACTTCCATGCAGTCTGACACAAGTCCTAAGGAAAAAAAGAAAAAGAAAAAAAGGAAGACTGACGATGGCGAAAATGGTTCAGAAGAAGCTTCATCAGTGGCTGCAGAGCCTGCTGTGGTTGAAGGGGTATACACTAATTATTTTTTAAAGTTGGTTATATTTTTCTTGATTTTCAATTATAGGAAGAGAAAAAGAAAAAGAAGAAGAAGAAAAAGGATAAAAGTAAAGACAAAGAAGAGGAAGAGGCAGAATAATTTTGTTATATATTTTTTTTATTGTAACATTACAAGATTAATTACTATAGTGCATTATCACAGTCTTGAGAAACTAGGTTTTTTATGACTTTTTTACTAAGTCTACAATGTTCTAGTTCTTGGACTGTGTTAAAACTATTTTTTCTTAAAATTTACTTACATGAAGTAAATACATTTTTAGTGATGTGGTGACTTTGAATTGAGTTCCTGAGAATAAATAAGTGCAAAGTAAACTTGACGCAATTTAAATATAGGGATACAAAAGGCAAGCTATCTTGACTAATAATATATGATTTTTGTTTATACTTAATAATTCATTATTGACTTAGCTTTTTTACAAATCTTAATATCTAAAATTAAATATATAAACACTAATCTAACGTTTATTAAAATATACTATGTCAACATTATTACTATGCATTGTGAAGGTGAACAACTGATAAAACACAATACATTAATTCAGACATCAAACTGTGACTCGTCAGGCATTTGCTGCTTTATTTGGTGATGATTTTGACTGCTCATTATAGTGACTGCATCTGGAATTCTGTTTGAACACATCCATGAGCAAATCACAGATGTCCATGGTCAGCTAGGTTTCTGGGGCGGTTTTCTTTCCTGTTCTGTTCCTAGTAAATTTTTTTCAACTTCGTGAAAGTCTATTTGTTGGTCCTTCATTGCTCTCTTAAAAATTTTCATTAATATTTTCTACACATTCGAATATGGTACTTACTTTGACACACTCTTGGTAAACCTTAAAAAGCGGGGCACACATGGAATCATTTGTATGTCCCTTTAAAAAGTATTCTGAAAACCAGGTGTTAAAACATGCATCGTAGTCTCGTTTTAAGTCGTTGCAAGCTTCGCCAATACTGTTCATTGTTGGTTCGGTAGCTTATACAGAAGAACTAAGTACGGGTCTTAATTTTCTTCTAAGAAAAGCAAACAGTATTGTCTAAAACTCTACACTTGTTAAAATAACATTGCGCAAAATAATTTTGAGGTTAGGTCGATCGATTGCTTTAAATGACGTTGCGTTTTTACTGCTACGTTATAGTGTTGCGAGTGGTTACCATTACGTACAAATATAACGTAAGAACCACGTGATGTGTGATGTCATTTTTTTTTTAGAAATAACAACAGAGTTTTGTTTTTAGGTTAACTTATAAAATAGAAATTACGATCTCGTTTTTATTTGTATAGTCGGATTCGTCTATAACAAAACCGTTCATGTCGTCTATGACCTTTGGCCAAAAAACCTTCACTCCGACTCCTCCAGATAAAGGAAGTTTTCCGCTAGATCACGAAGGTATCTGTCGGAAATTAATGATTAAATATATGAAGTGCCTAAATGTAAATAACAACGACAATTCAGCGTGCAGAAGTGAAGCTCGTGAATACCTAGCTTGTCGTATGGACAATAATCTTATGGTGAAAGAAGACTGGAGAAAACTAGGTTTAGAGTCAGAGAATTAAGTGTTGAAATGGTGAACATTCTTGTGGGTTGTACTGGCAGTGTAGCCACAATAAAGTTACCCCTTTTAGTAAATGGTTTAATAGGTCTAAATCCGGAGATAAGAGTAAGTGTTTCATTTTAATAACAAAAATTAGTGACTGTGTCTTAGGTTCGTGTAGTAGTGACTGAACACTCTAGACATTTTTTTGAAGAAAACAACTTACCTGCTGATGTGGAAGTGTTTCATGATGCAGATGAGTGGGCGGTGTGGAATAAAAGAGGGGACCCAGTTCTACATATTGAATTAAGTAAATGGGCCGATATTTTTCTGATCGCTCCTTTGGATGCTAACACTTTGGCCAAAATTGCAAATGTATAGGGACCCATGTTCTTATAGTAGATATTTAAAGTAATATTATTTTTAGGGTTTGTGTGATAATCTTCTCACTTGTATAGTAAGAGCCTGGGATCTTAACAAAAAACTTTTCTTTTGTCCTGCTATGAACACTAAAATGTACCAACATCCAATAACAGCAACCCAAATCAACACTCTTGAGTCTTGGGGGTACAAAGAAGTTCCTGTTATCGAAAAAACTCTCATGTGTGGAGATACAGGTGCAGGAGCTATGGCTGAAGTTGATACCATTGTCAAGACTGTTCAAGATTTTGTAAAATTGTAGAATTGTTTTTCATGAAAATTATATAAAAATAATGCTAGCGTTTGTTTTTGTTTATTACAAAAGTCTAATAAGTATAACAATATTCATTATTAAATTAAATAATTGTAAAAAGTGTTGGGTATGTACATAATACTAATTTGCGAAAGCTGTAAATCATGATGCATCCAAGCGTTTTGTGGCTATTTTTAAGTTTTAGGTGGCAACATGCGCTTAAGTACCTTTATTCTTTTTTGATAAAGTGCCACTCTTTCATTCTGGCTCAAAAATAACTGTTCATCATCAGAGTCTAGCTCTACGTCTTCCTCGCCCTTTTTGTATCTCTGAAACAGAGTTCAATTGGTTCTATGACTGTGTTTTTAATACAAATTGAATTTATACCTCATATTTTTCAAGACGAAACTCTTCTTCGTTGTCCTTCCATTCCACAAGAAACTGATACATTTTAGTGATAGCTGTCAAAATATTTTCATCGTCGACAATGAAATATTGATCGTTAAATACGGGATATATTTTCCGATTGCAAGTAAGTGGAAACGAACTCCGTTTTACCCTCCAGTATTTGCCATTATATTTTAGTGAAATAAAAAATTTTACATTTTTGTTCACAAAAGCTGTAATTTTTGAAGGTTCAAACGAAAATTTAATTTTTAAGTGGCGAAATGTGTGAAATTTTATGCCCGGCAATTTAAATATTGGTAAATCTTCTTTTGCGTAATTCTCAAACAGTTTTCTTCTAGCCTGATCTTCTTCGGCAGCTCGGAGGGCACGAATTCTTTTTTCTTCGAGTAAAGCTTTTTCTAAAATACAAAAAAATAATAATAATAGTGCGCAGTAGTTACGGAATCGCCAAGGTCAAAAAGAAACAATGCCAATTTCAAGAACATACCAATTCTTTGATCTTCGCTGTACGTCGTCTCACAATACGACGATGAGTCACTATCCATTGGTGCATAAAAAGAAAACAATATTTGTATAGAACTAATACGGAATAAAAGACAACTTATGAGCGTTTTTTTGGCCTTCTGTAAATTGGTGGGAGTCAATGACGCGAAACATATTTCAATGTACATATTTTGTTTTTATAAATAACACATGATTTGTTTTACTCGGTGTTTTTGTATTGAACTTTTTTATTGTACTAAGAAGAAATTGGTCTAAAGAGTTTAGACAGTACTTCCCTCGCTGTCGGAAACTTGACGACTGCATGCCTATTGTGTTTTTTTTTCTCATTACATTTTTGTAGTGGGAATTTAAAAAAAAAATTATGATGACGTCATCAACATTTTTGCAAGGACACGTAAATCAGTTGGGATAGATGTAGTGTAATACTAAGAATAAAATTATTGTACGAGCCCTAACAACTAAATATTGGGACACAAACAAATTCTCAAAAAAATCCGGTACATATTTTTGATATCATTCAATTCGTTTGGACTAAATGCAAATTTTGCATGGGCATCTATTTTGGCAGAGAGTGAGGTATTTTGCAAATTAATAAATTTTCTTAGAGCGCAAACATTGTCACCTAAATAAAAAATGTGCAATTTTTGCTGACATTTAAATGTTGGGACACCCGAGAAAATTTGCTAAGTATACCATCGAAATACAAACGCAGTGGCTGGTAAATGCTGCCATTATTATAGGGATTGTAGCATTTCATACTAGTGTTGGTTTCACTTAGAAGAAAATAGTTAGTGGTGGGCTAATTTTAGTAAAATTTCTGAAAATAATAATTTCGCAGTACTGCATGGGAAAATCGATAAGACAAAGTGAAGATTTGTTCTAAATAGTTTAGTCGTCGATGGTAAACATCGTAAAATATTACGCAGACAGAGGTACCATAGGAATAAAAGATAAAATTCCTGGTAGGCCACCACTTGTGAAGCCCCGTGATCAACCACAACTAATGAAAATTTATAAAAGTGGACGACGGAGTGCTTCAAGAGAAATTACTACTTGCTGGAATAGCGATAACCAACTAAATGTTTCAAGACAATATTGTCGCGAATGGGTACACAAATCAGGCTTTGGTTTTTACATTGTAAATCTTAAATAAAGCTATCTTTGATTGACTTTATTATTTATTTATATTATGTTAGGCTAAAGTAAAACCACAACTAAAAACTGCCCATAAGAAAAATTGGTTAATATGACCAAAATAAAAATTGGAGAAAAGTAGTATATAACGCTGAGTCCAAATTTGATGTATGGGTGAGATAATAGTCGAAAAAGAGTTATTGAAATAAAAAAGGAATTTTAATATGGATTATCTTAAACAATCAGTCAAGTCTGCAAGCGGAAAAACGGTTTGGGGGTGCATGTCAATTAACGGAATTTAAAGACCAGTTAACAACGTTCATGGAAGGGAAAATACAAATTCAAACAAATGTCAAGAGACTTTGTAAAAAAATATTAACAACTTCTGAAGCAGTCTATCCTGTTGATATTTATATTTTTCAACAGGATGATGCTTCAAGTTACACACCTACAACACTTATTACAAAGAATAATAATATAAATGTTTGCCCTGACCATCGAATTGCCCAGATTCTAATCTAGTAGAAACGGTATGGCGTGAAATAAAAAAATATTTAGGAAATCATCCATAACAAGCGATTGTCAATCTTCAACACGAAATTTAGCGAGTCTAGGATACGGTAACAACTCCTGTGTATTGCAGAAAATTAGTTGAAAGTATGATGGCAAGAATTCCTGCAGTTATTAAGGCAAAAGGAGATATGACCAGTTACTGAATTTGCTGTGTCCCAATATTTATGTGTCACAAAATGTTACGTTGTTTTAGAGTTTTATGTCACTGTTTGAGTTAGAAATCAGTTTTTGTTGTGCTGTAAACATTAACAGTTTTGCAAAACGAATTAATTTTAAAATTTTAATTATCTAAAATAAATTACATTTTTGTTAAAAAGTTTGGTGATTTTTTTATAAAAATTTTTTGTTGTCCCAATATTTAGTTGTTAGGGCTCGTATTCCCAAATTTTCGGGAAAATGAATTGGGTCGTTTTGAATATTGCTTTCTTATAATCAATAAAATAACGAAACAATTTACTCAGGTATACGGCGCCGGCGTGTAATATCTAGAGAGCGGATTTCTGTCGGGCTAGGCAAGGCCAAACTCGGTACGGCTCGTACGGGATGCGAATTTATTGCGATTGCGGACTGCACTTCGTTTATTTGAGATTAGAATAAAGTTGTTTCGTTGCACTCTGCTGTTAATTCCCGTTCTCATTTACTTAGCTGTTTGATTAATAAATCGTTAATTATATTTATGGAATTAGCACCGATTAAACGTGACGTAGCCCGACAAAAATCCGCTGTCTGGTAATATGAAAGGCAACTGAAAATCGTTTATGTATAAACATTCTTAATTTAAGATGACAAGCGTAACAGCATACGTGAGAATCAAACAGAGAAACTGTAAACAAAACGACCATCGGTTTTATTGCTTCGACTTCCGCTTATTATATAAAACATTGGGTTTTATTTTAATTCTTGACGGTGAAATTCACAATTGGTTGATTATAAACATGTCTATTCCACATTCGCGGAACCAAGTGAGCGCATAAAACAAATGCAGGTCTGTAATGTTAAAGTCGATGTAAATAAGCGTGCTACCCTTATGTTTCAACCGAGTTTTTCCTTTAACAAATTTTGTGTCTACCAAATTGGGTTGGTTGGGGTGTAATACTAATAATAAGTGTTGCCTTTAATTTAATCAATAAAATAAATTGACTTCATTAATTTTTTTGAACCACCTCTTAAGAAAATCTAAAAAATATGAATGGAATGATATATCACAAGTACAAACTCATCATATTTTTTGCATTTTAGATAGGATTTATTCAGCAAAATTTAAGGGTGACGTCGTCAATTTTTTTAGGAGGGATGAACAAATACATTTTGAACAAAAGTTTACCATGCTTATAATAACTTTAAAATATTCCCAAGATTTCAAAGCATTCGGTTTTGTAATTCCTGATTAAATCGATAAAATAAATTCACGCCTTCATTAATTTTTTTGAGTCACCCTGCATATGCAAATCCAAAAATATGAATGGAATGATAATTCACAAGTACAGACTCATCATATTTTGTACATTTTAGATAGGATTTATTCAGCAAACTTTTGAGCTGACGTCATCAGTTTTTTGTAGAAGATAACCAAATATATTTTGACTAAAAATTTATTATGCTCTTTATAACCTTAAAACATCTGCAAGATTTCAAAGCATTCGGTTTTGTAGTTCCTGATTAAATCAATAAAATAAATTTACGCATTCATTAATTTTTTTGAGTCACCCTGTATATGCAAATCGAAAAAATTTGAATGGAATGATAAATCACAAGAAGAGACTCACCATATTTTGTACATTTTAGATAGGATTTATTCAGCAAAATTTTGTGGTGACGTCATAATTTTTTTAGGGGGGACGACCAAATACATTTTGATCAAAAATTTACCATGCTTATGATAATTTTAAAATATCTTCAAGATTTCGAAGCATTCGGTTTTGTAGTTCCTGAGTAAATCAGTAAAATAAATTTACGCTTTCATTTATTTTCTTGAATCACCCTGTATATGCAAATCCAAAAAATATGAATGGAGTGACAGATCACAAGTACAGACTGATCATATTTTGTACATTTTAGATATGATTTATTCGGCAAATTTTCGAGCTGACGTCATCAAGTTTTTGGAGGGGATAAGCAAATATATTTTGACTAAACATTTATTATGCTCTTTATAACCTTAAAACATCTGCAAGATGTCAGAGCATTCCGTTTTGTAGTTCCTGATTAAATCAATAAAATATATTTACGCATTCATTAATTTTTTTGAGTCACTCTGTATATGCAAATCCAAAAAATATGAATGGAATGATAAATGACAAGTACAGACTCATCATATTTTGTGCATTTTAGATATGATTTATTCGGCAAACTTTCGAGCTGACGTCATCAAGTTTTTGGAGGGGATAAGCAAATATATTTTGACTAAACATTTATTATGCTCTTTATGACCTTAAAACATCTGCAAGATTTCAGAGCATTCGGTTTTGTAGTTCCTGATTAAATCAATAAAATATATTTACGCATTCATTAATTTTTTTGAGTCACCCTGTATATGCAAATCCAAAAAATATGAATGGAGTGATAAATTACAAGTACAGACTCATCATATTTTTACAGTTTAGATAGGATTTATTCGGCAAACTTTCGAGCTGACGTCATCAATTTTTTGGAGGGGATAAGCAAATATATTTTGACTAAACATTTATTATGCTCTTTATAACCTTAAAACATCTGCAAGATTTCAAAGCATTCGGTTTTGTAGTTTCTGAGTAAATCAGTAAAATAAATTTACGCATTCATTAATTTTTTTGAGTCACCCTGTATATGCAAATCCAAAAAATATGAATGGAGTGATAGATCACAAGTACAGACTCATCATATTTTGTACATTTTAGATATGATTTATTCCACAAACTTTTGAGCTGACGTCATCAAGTTTTTGGAGGGGATAAGCAAATATTTTTTGACTAAAAATTTATTATGCTCTTTATAGCCTTAAAACATCTGCAACATTTCAAAGCATTCTGGTTAGCAGATTAAAAATTAAATTTCAAAATGTTGTTTTATAATTTTGATTTTTTTTCCAAAAATCTGGACGTTTCGGGTGAAAAGTCGATTCAGAGTTGTAAACTACATGTGTAGGACTATGTTATTTTATACAATTGAAAACCCATTTACTATGTACAATTTTGAAGTGACGTCATCGCATTAGTGGTGGGGATGATTAGACAAATTTTGGTTAGCGTTTTACCATCTACATGATATTCTTAATATAAGTACAAAATTTCACAACAATCGGTCGAGTACTTTCGGAGATTATCTGTCTAATAAAAATCCGGGACGGCAGACGGACAGACGGACGGACAGACGGACAGACGGACGGACAGACGGACAGACAGACGGAATTGGGAGACCTATTTCTTCGTCTTCTAGGGGTCATGAAAGATCGAGAAAACGTAAAAGTAGAGAGTCGGCCGACGGACTCGATTACAATACTTCCTTTGCTTACGCTCGGGAAGTAAAAAGGGAATAACGACCAACAC